TGTGATTGGTAGGAGCCCAGATCCCCTTCCGGCTCCCTGAATTAACATTGTCTTCTCCTGGGCCCAGGGTCTCCTCCAGCCACACACTTGTGTGCAAGGGGCCAACACGGGTACAAGGAGGGCGAGATGACAGCAGGTCTGTGACCCGCAGCCTTGCCTGGCCCGCCTGTGTTGGTGCACGAGGACTCGGCCTGCAGCATTTCTGCTGGAGCTCCCTGCAGAGGAAACACTTACGAGTTTCCTATTTCACAGTGCCAAGAAGGGAAGAGCAGGATGTGGGGAGGAGACGGCGCTGTTAAAGGAGACTGCAGGGCCCTGGCGCGAAGCCTTTGACCGAAGGTGATTCATTTCCTGCCAGGCAGAGGAGCCGGGGGTGCAAAGAGCCACCTGCGGCGCTCCCAGCGCCCCGGCCCCCGTCCGCAGGGACCGTCCCGCTGCGGGGCCGAGACGGGTGTTCGTGCCGGCCTGCGCGGGCCAGGCAGCTGCACGGGGCGGCGCGGGCGAGCGAGCACGACTCCGCATTGGCGCCTTTGGCTGTAAGCGGGGAACGGCACTCGCCTTAGCCCGCCCTGTCGGGATGTCTTTGAGAAACCACCAGAATGTCAGAAGAAAGGACGAAGCGAGAGCCACGCAGGGCCCTGAAAGCAAAACGCTGCTCCCAGGCTGCCCCGGAGCAGGGGTTAATGTTTAACTCGTGCGAGGCAGGGCTCAGGAAGGCCCCAGGCCAGCTGCTAGCGAACAGCAGCTGCAATTGGGGCTCGCTGTGAGGGTGCTGGTTCCGGGCCGCGCGGCCGCGATGCCGGCCCGGGGCTGGCAGTGACATGCAGTAGCCGCGCTTCTCCCGTCTGCAGCCACATAGGGGCACACGGTGCCCCTGAGCACTGTGCCAGCTCCAAGTGACGGACTCCTCGTCATGGAAAGGCACAGCGGCTCAGCATGCTTTGCACGGCAAGAGCAGCCTTACAGCCTCTTTCCTTGGAAAGTACTAGAAAGTGGGAAAATGGGAAGCTACCTCCAAAGGCTGGTGCCCATAGAGGTCAGGGAGCCGGTATTCCTGTTATTCCTTCTTCTTAACAACCTCAAATATCCCTGAAGCATTAGTTGCCACCTAAATGGAGTCGTGTGCCTCCTCACACGTGCCTGGAGCCTTGAAGAAGCCGTGGAGAAGCCGTGGAGAAGCTGTGAAGAAGTGGAGGGCAGCAAGGGCTCAAACTCCACAGAGCAGTGGGGCTGCAGATAGAGGCCGTGCCCTGAGGACACGCAGCTTCTGCAGGCGGAAGAAAGCACTTCCCTGGGAAGGTGACTGGGTATGGTCTGATGGAGGCTCTACCTGGAAAGAGAGGAGGAATGGGAAGAGTTTCCTGGGAAGGGACCAATTACTGATGGTGAACTACCATTTTGCCCCTTCATATCCGTACATGGTAATTCTACAAAGAGTCTGGTGTGTGTGTCGGGGGGAGCAGGGATGTGTCAGGGTTTACACCGATCCCTCAGACTACCCTCTCACAGCTCCTGAGAGACAAGGGGGCATCACCCCAAGGGTTACTCTTCTCCAATATGGATGCAAGAGGCACCTCAAAAGGCCAGAAGATAATCTGATTTAGGGGCTGATTCCACTGATTCAAATCTTTGGAAGGGAAGCTAAAATTCAGCTCAGCAAGTAGTGGGAGAATGACAGATCCCTTGGCAGGAGAATGCCAGCTTGAACAGCAGAAGACACTCCCCCAAGGCCAAAGGGATCTTCTAAAGACATTGCTTTCCTAATAAACCCTTTTGGATCTCTAGCATCAAGGTCCCCTCTAGGCAGACCACAGGTACAGAGACCACTGCTCCAGGACCAGCAGGACCCTTAAAGTCTGCATCTAGTTTGCTGACGGGCTTTGTGTGGCTCACTAGATCGCAGCTTAACTGCAGAGCCCTTCTACACAAGGCACAAATAGCTCGAGCGTTGCAGAAGGTGCATGGGAATCCCCTCCCCAAGCTCCGTGGAGCTCCCCAAGAACAGGACTTCCTTCGTATTCCAACAGCCCAGCCAAGTGTCTCACACACGCGCACGCGCTCCACCAGCCCAGGGCCGCTGCTCCTTCTCCATCTGGCCCAACCTTTCCTGTAGAAATGACTCACAACAAACTATTTCAGACGATTCCTCCAAAACACAAAGTAGTGTGAGAACTGCTTCAAAGCCAAAGGCCCCTTGTCATCTTTTGCTCATGCACCACGAGCCATTTAAGCAGGAATACGGTGAACAGCTATTCTTCCAGACATATAAACCCTAAGATAATCAACTTTGTCCTTCAAAGAGGAAAAAGTTGGAATTCCTTGGCTCTAACTCACACCATTGTGAGGTTTATATATTGAAGTCTGATTTGGTCATATTCTGCAGACAATGGTAAATTCCAAGGAGACTAATTTCATCATCAGAGCAGGATCTACATTATTTCAGGGAATATGCCCTCCCCCTCTCCATGTCGCCATGGAAAGGAAATAAATTGCCCAGGCTTAGATAGCTAAAGTGACGGGAAAGGAATTCAAAATAAAGATTCATTTCTGGATTTAAGAAAACTCTTGATTCATGAAAGAACTCAGTGCAGAATTGAATAGTTGGAAGTAGCCAAACTTGGGATATACCTCTTGAATGAGATGAGCATCCTTTGAAGCCATAAATTTACAGAACTTCAGATGAAGAAAACCTGTCTCAGTCGCTCATATCCCAGACATCTTTATGAGAGATCTCCTAGTGCTTTCTCCAGTCTGCTCTTAACGGTCTCCAACAACGAAGCTTGCATGCCGGCTTTGGATCTATCGCTCATCCTCACAACCCCAATGTCAATAAGAGATTTCAAAATAATTTCTACTCCACACTATTGCTTTTTAATTTATTTATGCTTTTTAAATAGATTTTAGTGCTGAGGAGTCTCTAAGAAAAGGAATTCTGTTCTAATATCCTAAGAAATACAGGCCAGAGACCATTGCTTACATACACGCAAGACCCAACAGTAAAGCACTGTTGTCCAGTGGACAGTATAGCAAGAGCAGCTTTCCCAAAGCTACTTGAAGAGTAACATGTCACAAGATATATTGAATTATAGCGTTCAAAATCTGGGGGCAGAAGGAAGGCAGGGCACTGATGTGAGCAAGAAACTACTGGGATTTATCAAACTGCCTAACTCAAATCAACTGCAAATGAATTTCAGTGAGAATCACAACATGGAAATCTCATTCACTGTTCAAGTATTTTCATAAATCTGATTCTCCACCTCATTTGGTGTGATGACAACCCAAATATGGGTAATATGCAAAGGATGTGGAGACACCCAAAGGATGTGGCCCTGAATACTTGCAAATTAAAAATAACTCAGATGTAATTCACCTTATTCTATTTTAAGTTTGTGAATGAACACTCATCTTGGAGAAGCAGCTCCTTCACTGAATAAGACAATTTT